ATTATGAGTTCGTAATCTAAGCACTATTCAAATGTTTTTAAATCCATTTTTACCATAGCTAAAAAAAAAATATATAACGAATCAGCAGCGGTAAGGACCAATCGAAAGACTTGAGAACTGTTTTTGCCTCCTCGATCATCAGTTGTTATCATGTGATACCGCAGCTAGATGAAAAGTAATCGAAGTGTTTTAATATTCAACTGTTGCAACTCTAATGAAAATACTTTCAACACAATAACGGTTTCTTGGGAAGACAACGCCACGTATGATTAGATGCATCTGTTCAGCATTGAAAATTTGTGTGAAAGAAACATAGGAAATGACAAAAACGGTTTTGCATTTCCAAAAATCGTATTCGCTATGAGTGAGTTTCAAAACTTCTTAGTGAAACAAAAGTTCGCATTTCTTTGAATTAAGAAATAAAGAAGCCTTGACTGTGCTCTGTTCTGTTGTAAAATACGCAGGAAGTGGCTAGAGCACGAACGAAATGTAGGAGAAACAAGAAACGCAGTGGAGTGTTTCTCCCCCCTTTTGAAAAAAAGCTACACATAATCAAAATTGGCAGATGGCGTGACAGCTTTAACTCAGCTCCATGCTCTATACTCTAATAGAGCACCCCCTTCAACCACTGGCAGCTGCAGCGCACATTCTATCCAAACTTTATCATAATACTGAAAATTACCTTCTAGAGACCTACCCTGAGAAGAAGGACGTATCGAGGAGGTCGTTGTATTGGAGTAAGGAGAAAAGCAGGTAGATCTAGTCCCTCGCATTCTGAATTTGAGGAGCAGCTCTGAAAGAGAAAAACAATGTAAGGCGCATCACTATCATGTCTAAAAAAAGACTGGTACGAGTAACCAAACTGGATAGAAATCGTGCTATAAATTTACCTGTAAGAATTTCCTAAATTTATGTGATCCCCTTGAACTTTTGTTTATCACGCCTATTGCCCTAGGAAAGTTGTTGACGTAATTGGAATAGATTCGTAAGACATCGATCTGTGGAATAATGGAACATTGTTTGGTATTAAGCCAAGTGACAAAGAACACAAACAAACAGAGGTTCAAAGAGCTCTTACAGCTTCGGACCAAAGTGAAAATAAACCTACTCAGGACGTTATTATGTCTGAGTGCAATTACGACTTTTTGAGGCCATACTTAAGACTGATTAACTTAGGTTGTTCTTTCAAAGCTTAAGAAGTGAAACTTACATGATAAGAGCTGCTTAATTTGGTAAAAATATCTCCAACAATGCCGTGTAATTTCCAATTATGAAGTCGTTCTTCTAAATCTTTCATAAAATGGGTGTGACTTGTCAAGATATGCACCAGTTCTCCAGGACACAGCACACTAAAAATATGTTTACAAGTATAAGTAAGTAAAGCACATCATAAAAAAATAAATACACCCGGACTACCCGTCATTTTTAACATTTTTAAAAACGCGGCTTTATATTTAGTCCATCCTGCATGACCTTTCGTGAAAGCAGACCACTTGATTTTCTACAGAGATGAAAATGATGCCCAAACAAACTAAACTTGCTTCGTAGCTCTTTGAAACCAATATCTGCGAAAAATGAGTGAAACAATTCATTTCTCTGTTGTAGAGCTTTACAGCTGTAATTATGAAGTGCTCTGGTTCGTATGTTAATATATGTTACTGCATTGCCTAAAAAAAAGCATGCCTGGAAAACACCCCATAAAAGTTGAATTTAAAGACATTGATTTCTGAACATGANCTGAATCCTTGCAACCGCCACAAGCGCATGACACTCAACTTGAAATGTTATGGATAATTTAATTTGGTGGCGAGGCTGGCGATGAGAAAACAATCCTCGGAGCGAATAGAATCGGCCAGATGTATTTTAATTAACCTTCCAAATTTTTTAACTAGTATCTATAGGGTGATTAGCAACAGATCCATTTTCCAAGAAACCAAACAAATGATGAAATCGTTATGGAACTTAACATAAGGAGAGAATGTGTTTTACAGAGGAGAAAGACTTCCTCAGGTGCAGAAATCTGTTGTCAATGTAATCTCCCTAATTTTCTGTATAGTGAATATATACTAAGCGTATACCACTGAATTGCAGATGACTGAGGAGCTATCAGGGTGTGAACTTTAAAAAAAAAACAAACAAAACTTTTTGTATGATTTAATAATATTGCAACGGCAAAATTTATCTGTTCTCTTTCTTGCCCAATCTAGCCTAATCCTTTTTATAAAAAAGATAGGGCACTCGCTGCCTGGAATAAGCACGGCTAGAGGACGGTTAGGCAAATTATAGGTCTGGAAATGCACCGCACCGACAGCTGTTGTAGTGTCTTATTTTTCTTTTTTTTTTCTTTTTTTTTTTTTCCAGATTCAAAGTACATTATTATGACAAGAACGTTAACAGCGACGGTAAGACTAAAGTTGGAGAAGGAGAAATTCTGTACATAGTCCCCAGGCACCCTGACAAAGCAGTGAAAACTACACCTTATGTGACCTGGGAAGAAGCATTACGTGACATGGATGAAGACCTGGAGGCTGGTCTTTGGGGGGCTGGTCCCGAGCTGTCATCGGAGGAAGCTAATCGCTTGACGTTCTGTTGCTGTGAATGTTGCCATGGAAATACATGTCGCAGCTTGTCTGAGGCGTTATGTGGGGTTTTCCAACAGCACTCTACCAATCATCAGTTCTTTACACCAGCAACGTTCGCCGCCTACCAAAGGGAAGGATATCGCGCTAGTATGGAGGCGAAAGTAGCCGAGTTTGTGTCCAATAGGTAGCAAACCTCCGCTTTACGGACTATTTTTGTGTAATTACATATGAATAGTCTGAAAACTTATTTTGTTAAAAACAAAAACAAAAAACAAAAAACAAACAAACAAACATAAAAACATTCCAAATTCCAGTTCGACAAGTAAATGGTGATTTAAAAAAAGCCGCCTTGAATGTCCACTGCTTAATTTCCTTTTCTCTCGCTTTTGTGGGATACATTGTCTGCATTCATTTGATTTTTAACTCGCTTACATTCTAGAAAGTTCCCCATGCATCAGTAATGATAATAAAAAGCCTTTTCCTTACTGTTTTATTCAATTGGATTACAGGCCAGCTGGTGAATTGCTATGGTTAATAAAAGTTCTTAAACGTATATTATGGAGCCATTATTTTGACGAGGACTGTGTTGGCATTCTCCATCCGATTTTGAATTTTTAAGAGTTTGTTTCCGACCTTACTCCACAAGTAAAGCAAGGGCCTGCCCCATGAGTCGGTCTGTCATTAGAGCGATTTCCTCCATTGCCTTTCTCTCTGTCAATATGCTCCTGAAAGAAGACACGCCTTTTCGTTAAGGGTTAATCTTGCAGGGTTTTATTTAAAAAAGTCGTATTTTTGGAGTTTTCGGATGTTCCGTGACCATGGATACATCAACACAAGGGACCAATAACAACAAAAAAACTGTTTCTTGAGTACACAAGTGAGAAGGTGGACCTTTGACCACGTTAACTATAGGTCCCAAACATATACTGTGGCTGCCCTCTGCGTTCTCGGACGTCCTTTTCTTTATTTTGGATGATAGGCGATAACGCTTCAAAATGTATACTTTCTCAATCGGAAATCCAGTAANCCTGAGGTCTTAATCGGAGAGTTAAGCTTTCGACAGTCGCGATGTGCAGATACTGAGTTTTGCTAAGCCAAAAGGCCGTCGACGGCTTCTGGTAAGGTTAAGTTTATTTACGCAATGTTAGTTTTCCCACCCAGTAATTTGTTTATCGATTGGACTCCTTTTGTCAGATTTCAGCCTTTCTACCATCCTCCATTATTTGCGTGTGACCTTAAGATTTGCAATCAAAAGATTGAGCGATCACGCCTTATTGGAAGGCTTCTTGGCACACCTCCAGACCCATTGTTCCGACTTTTTGGGATTAAAACTCTCAACAAGTGTCTAAATCATTTGAAAAGTTGGCATACAGGTGATTAATTTGTTTTCATCTTTAGATTACATGATGCTAAACAATGCTGGATGATAGGGTTACTACTACTTTCCCTCGTCTAGTCATCGTCACGCACGTGACAAATTTCACAAAGCACGACACTTTCCATCCCACGCTCATGATGTCTAAACATCTAAAAGTTTTTTCGTGACTACTTTGTAAATAAAGAGGAAAGGTTGAAAGCTTCATGCAATCACGTTTGACATTTTGCTCCCTTTTCTTTTACATTAAAATGCCTCAAATGGCGATCAAAGTTACCGGCTATTGTTAACACAGGTTACTGCAAATCTTCATTGCCGGCAAAAATTTTCTTTATAAGCTGCCGAGCTTGCAGACAACGCTACCTTGGCTTTGATGGAAAATATAAATAAACAAAGGTACAATTGTTCGTACGTGCTTCCTTATCTACAAATAAAGAGGAGTTAGGAATTGTCTCTAAGAAATTTTTTAGACGATTGAAAATGATAGGATTATTTGCCAGAGCACGCTGTCGATTTGAGTGAAATTTGAATGAATAATATAGATCCATATAATCCTTTCTCGTAGAATGATTCTTCTCTTGTTTCTCGATTGCAGGAACATATTTAAAAGTGGAATAGCTACGACGATACCCTGATTTTTACGACTTAAGAAACAACTATTTGGACTATTTATCTCTTGGATATAATTCCCCAAGATTTTGGCGATAACAACTGCTAATGTCATGTTTTAACAAGAGAAAAAGTAATGAAGAAACCGTACGCGTATATGAACATGTCTCATGGGAAGCACACTTTATAGAATTTGTAATATTCTTCTTCTGCATAGAATTATCCCTTAGCACACAGCCAGCACATGCCTTGTTTCACGTGCATCTAGAGTACAGTGAATTATAGCCAAGAGATAAATAAAAAAACATTAGTTACGTTTTTCCGGCTTAAGTAAACAACAATTTGGCTGCTTTTTATAAACTGACTATCATGAAAAATCAATTAGCTCGCTGTAATGTTTAGACTAAGAAGAAGGATCATTAAAATCTCTTCAGTGTGTTTGTTTAAGTTAAATTCAAGCAAACTCGCAAGATGCAGAGTTTTTTGGCAGAAGAATCCAGAATAAAGGCTTCTGAGTTATTGGGTTTGAAAGGAAAACTATCAAAACAAGTGAATCACATTCTTACTACATCTTTTTTCAAACCGTCCGAATATGAGTGACATCTTCAAAACTGTTTGACTTGATAGATGCTCTNGTGTGGTTTCGTAGCTCAGTTGGCACGAGCGCCCGGTTAGGAGGCATGGGAACGACGCCATAATTTTTATTACCCCAGTTCTGTATAGTAAATGTGGCTTTTAAAAAATAAATCACATCGTTGAATTATAACTGTATAATCCTTAATAGGTCTTTATTCATCAACAGTACATTTTCCTTTTATTAAGAAGACTTTGACGAAGTAAAAAGGGAAAAGGGGTGAATGTAGTTGTAATATGTTATCTTTGTTTTTTAGGTCAAGAACGTTAGTAAGATGCCAGGTCCTGTCGGGCCTCCTGGCTACAACGGGAGTCAAGGACCTGCGGGTCGTGATGTATCATCAAACCTCAGCGCATGCCAGTTTAAAATGAAAAGTAGTACTATGACCCCTGGTAGCAATAGAATAATTGTACATTTTGATGAACCAACTGTAAGTACATCTATACTTACATCATAATAATGAATAGATAAATTAATAGATAAAAAGAATAATGAATTATAGTAAATAAAGAATGGGATTTCTAAATCTAACTTGTCTTTACCCCTTTGACATTTCCCAAAATATATGAGTACGACCTTAACAAGATTAAGTGGGGAACTTATAACGAGTATTTCTGAATCAAGAGGAATTAAATGATTTCTTTCACTATTGCTGTTGTGAGGTGAAGAAATTCAAAAAAGCGATTTAGGACCTAGCCTTTCTTACCCTAGACATAAGAGCTGTAATGCACGCCCTCCTTCGCATCTTGTCGCTTTTGTACACTCGAAAAAATGTCTTTATTTTCATTGGTCGAGAGTAATGCAGTTTATGCATAATACAAAAAGACATTTAAAAATTGTTCTTTGTGTGAACGCTTTTCGTTTGACCAAATGCACAATCAAATGATATATAGGCTTTACCTTTGCAAAATTGTGAAAAGCTAACTTTTACTCTTGTGCATACTACTTAATGTGATCTTATGATTTTTCTCGTGCAATTTGGAATGAGAGCATTCGTGCAAACCTTTTAAAACTCTACAGCTGAAGTTTGTTAGTTTTTCGAAAAATAACTCGAGTATATCTAAGCCAAAAGACCCTCGTAATGACGTGATTACCTTTCTAGAAAAAATAACTGATGTAATTTTTTATTTGTTGGCAGAATTCAAAAGTAATGGCAGTAACATGCTCAACGGAATACAACGCTGAGTATAATCTTATATCGAGGGATCAAGCAAGTGGCGTTCGGAGATACGTTTGCACCTGTGATGGAAAATCCACACTCTTCAAAAGAGGAACTAGTTGCTACCTGAACTATTGGATTTGCCCTTTAACCACGTAGTTCCTGTCGCCTTGAAACAATGTTTAATTTAATGAATATTTACCAAAAGT